ATTTGTTTGTTTTCCTTTTCAATATCTCTCTATTTGTCCATGTTTAATTCCTAGGAGAGGGGTGGGTGCATTGTTTGACAGTTCATAATAGGCTCTTCTAGTAATTTGCTCTATAGTGAAATAGACCATTTTCCATTTTTGTAAAGTGTTTTTGAATTTTCTTTTAGGTGACAATGACAATCATGATAATGACGTCCCTCATAATGGTTCTCGACTATCACCCCCCTTTGAAGAGCAAGGTGTGTATCGAATTACAGTATAGTAAAACTTTCCATTTTGAAATTTAGCCTAAACAGGTTCTGACATAGATGATAATTAACAGACGTGGAGGTTATCTAGGTTCTTGAATATGATCTTATTTTTGAAGAAAAATATAACATTGTAGATGGTACAATGGAGTGGTATTTGTCCTTTCTCTCATGCAGCAGCCAATTTTTCCCGTACACCTTATATGAAATTGTCTCAGAGGAGAACTGGTCTTGAAGAGAGCTATCATCGTCAATTGATCTTTTTTACCAAAGTGGACACATTTTCAAGATTTTAGAAAATGAGAACCTGTTTCAAATTTTTAGAGTCAACAGGTTCTTGTTTAGAGGGTGCCCAACTAAGAAATTTCAGGCTAGCTGGTTCTTAAAAAATAGTTTCATACCTGCAGACCATTATTCGGTTAGGTGATGCTTGACGCACTTTGTAAGCACTGTCATGTAAAAGTAATGGTGGATGAGCAACAAGAGCACATGCAACCATGTTCCCAGTCTATATCCCTCTTCTCCCTTCTCCTCTCTGTATCTACTCAATTCCTTTCTCTCTTGCTTGCACTTTGTAGATGGGGAAAGAAGGAAAGATACCGGTTGAATGGGGTAGAGTAGCATACATATATTTAGGCACAGCTGTGTTTTAGTAGAATTCGTTGTACCCATGTAATTATTGTTTCCCTCTTATTTCATAATCATTTTTCAGTGCTGCTGTGTGCTGAGGACACAACTGTGCAGGAAAATGAGGAAGAACATAAGCCTAAAGATCAGGAAGATTGCAAGATCAGATCAAAAGCACCCAACAAAAAGCGTAAAAGGTCAAACATGTGAAAAAGCCTTGATGTGTTTTGTGAAAGATTTACTCAGATATCAAAAGAAGAAACAAAAAGGTAAATCCACCTTTATGTTATCGATCAAAACTGTTACAACACTGTTCATTTTTAGATAGAAACTACAAATCCTCAGGGCCCAATTGTTCAATACCACAATTAGCGCTGATCCAGGATTAAATTGGTAAACAAATTAGATTGCATTGCTCAAAGGCTGATTAATGCCAATCTGACTCTAATTGGCGGGTTAAATTTAATACAACTCCAAAATGGGCAACAATATAAAGTGTTTTACATACATCAAGTGCTAACCGATAATAGGGTAAATAGCTAATCAGGCCTCTCACTGGGTGTTTGAACTACGTTCTCAGTTCCGCCAATTAGCTAACCCAGTTTTAGCATTTTTAATCGACACTTAGGCTTAAAGTGCACCTAACCCCAAAATTTTTTTTTCGCTAAAACGAATCTACATGTTATTTGAAATACTTCTG